AAAAAAAAAAAAAAAAAAAAAAAAAAAAAAAAAAAAAAAAAAAAAGTATCCCGACCTCTGCACCGCCAAACCCCCAATCGGGCTTGTAAGTGGTAACATGAACGTAACAATATTCATACACGAGAAACGGACGCTGCGAGTTGCCTGTATGCGAGGACCTGGCAGAAGGATGGTCACCATATCCTCGTCAGTTTCGTCGTAAAAGGCGAAGCGACTTAGTTTCGTTGCAGACAGTATGGCTCCAATTTGAGAGCTTTCCTCCTTTTAATTCGGAGGCATGAGCTCGCGCACGCGGTCGCAGACAAATATAGAGGTGTTGCCCGGCCGAGTCGTCTCCACTCTGTTTTCCAAACCAGTCGCCGCGGTGACTCATCGCTCCGTTCTCAGGAAAAACGCCGTAACAACACTCCGACGTTGCCAAATTTCATTTGGTAGGAAACGAATTCCCTTTGAATCTTACAAAATTCGGCCTCCTTTGGTGAAGTGGTTGTAGCGCTAGCGCTATGATCGAGAGGTCCTGGGTTTGATTCCCGGCCAGGCGACCCGAGTTTGATGATCTCCAATGGCGTGGCGTGAATGATCGATTTTCGATATTTTCCCATTTGAATACGTGGTAAAGAATCGATTATTAAGTTGTTCACTGCGAACACCCTGTTTATCGATCCTTTTCCATAGGATTAAATGGCCGATCAATCGATATATCGCAAAGCACGCCACGCCACTGATGGTCTCAAACAATGGTTGCCTGGGACTTTTTCAGTAAGGACGGAGGGGGGCGGTACAAGGAGCAGGATTATCCCTTGTAAGATGGTTGAAGTGGTAAAAAATAAATAAATAAATGAAAAAAAAATGCCGCCTTTAATTTTTATTTGTCATGCAATTTTTTTGCAAATTTCTAGGGGAAATATTCACAGAATCGTATTCATAGTCGTTCATTAAACTGCTCCTTTCCTCTGGAGGCCCCGTCTGGTTTGTACTTTGTGATCAATGGCGGTTCAAGGGGACCTTCAACATAGCATCATAAAAAGGGACGTGCTTTTAACGAACATAGTGTAAAACTCATAAGTATTAAGTATAATTGAGGGGCTTGGAGAACAATGCGCACAAGTGCAGTTTTTGTTATCTCGAGAAATACGTGTTTAAAGTTTCGAAATTTCAAAATAAAGTGTTCTATGATGCTACGTTGGAGGTCCCCTTAAACCTGCCTCCATCACGATATGTGCGAATCATAATGTGGAGCCTCATAAGAAAATAAGCTGAAAATGGAACGACGACGAATTCGGCTCATAAATTCTCTTTAATAAACCCACTCTACTGCCAAGAACTTGACAACACTTGAATGATCATACGTCGTTCTTCCTTGACACGGCGACTTCAGTCGCGACCGGAAGGAGGGTCCATAAAATCAACGGGGTCGGAATAGGAATAGGCCGCGCCGGCTCGGTTTTACCGAGAAAATACCAGGAATCGTTGATGAAACCAATTATTCAATTCGTAATGAACACCATATGGCCAAGATAGGTCGGCGAAAAGTCGACAACTTTATACTACGAGAAAGGCTCTGCACATTGGAACTTGTTCGAAAGGGCCCAATCAATTTTTCTTCTCTCTCTCCTCGGGGTGTTTGTTCAGTCGATCAAATAAGCCTATACTTATGTCAAGGAGACCATCAGTTGGCAATTTTTCTAATTTTCCTGGACATGTTTTGCACACACGTATACTGGGTCTCGTGGAGACTCCTAGGTTAAAAAAAATTGCGGCGATTCAAGGAGAGAGTAAGGCAGGAACAAGTTAGAAGGGTCTGTCACCAACTTTTGACGTTTA